TGTGCCGGCCTTGCACTCCCAGTTGCAGCCGGGTGAGGAACTCGTTGCGTTCCTGGATGACACATATGTGGTATCCACGCCAGATTGCACGGTGCCAGCCTGGGCACCTCGCTCAAAACGCATGCGAATGTGGACCTCCATTTGGGCAAGACGCGGGCTTGGAATTCGGCCGGGGAGGAGCCCCCTGGCCTGTGTGCGAGGGTGCCGACGGGGCCGTCGGAGCCACCGCTGGGGAAGCTGCCACCCAAGGTGGCCCGTTGCGGGGATGGCAGCGTGCCGTCGCGGCCTGCCTGGACAGGACAACCTGCGAGAGCCTTTTGGAAGTCCTCCGCCTAGTCCTCGATGATGATGATGCTTCACAGCTTTTTGTCGCTGTCGCCACGCTCCTTGCCCGTGGCCAGGTCCCTGAGCCGGCTGTCGCTGGCCTAGCATTGGGACGCTTAGTTGCCATCACCAAACCTGGAGGTGGGACACGCGGGCTGGTTGTTGGGGACGCACTGCGCCGCCTTGTCGCCAGGACCCTGGCGCAACAGTTTGCCGAGCACTTCGAGACTGCGTGCAACCCGCACCAATACGCCCTGTCCACTCGTGCAGGGGCGGAGGCGCTGGTGCACACCTTGCAGGCCCGCACGCAGGCCGACCCCAGCCTGACGGTATTGTCCGTCAACGCTGCGGCAGCATAGGATGTTGTGAGCCGGGAGGCCATGCTCACGGCACTCCGCGATGAACCCTCCGTCCGGCCTGTCCTCCCCTTCGCTCGGCTGTGGTATGCCAGGGAATCGGCTTATGTCTGGGACGCCGGCGCCCGCTCTCACCGCATTACTCAGGCCGAGGGCGGCGAGCAAGGAGACCCGCTCATGCCGGCCATGTTCTCGCTCGCTTTGCAGCCCGCCCTCCGAGCGTTGCAGCCTGAGCTCCGTGCCGGCGAGCAGGCCTTAGCCTACCTTGACGACGTCTACATCCTTGCTTCCCCGGCAAGAGTTGTCGAGCTGTACCGGCGCCTGGAGCACCTCCTCTGGTACCACGCCCGCCTCAAACTAAATGCTGCCAAAACCAGGGTCTGGAATGCTGCTGGCACCTTGCCGCCGGGCGTGCTTGCTCTCGCCCCAGACTCTCCAGTTTGGGTTGGCGACCTCTCGCTCCCCCCGGCGCAGCGCGGTCTTGTCGCACTCGGTGTCCCATTCGGTACCCGGGAGTTTGTCGATGCCCACTTGCATGATGTCCTGGCGCGACAGGCCGGGCTGCTGGACGCCCTCCCACAGCTCCAGGACTCCCAGGTTGCGTGGCTGCTGCTCTCTTGCTGTGCTGCGCCGCGCTCGCAGTATGCCATCCGGACCCTGCCGCTCGATGACACGCGAGGGTATGCAGCGAGCCATGACGCTGCAGTCCTCGACTGCCTCCAGTCACTCTTGTATGCTGACGCCGGGACTGCCTTGCCGGAGACCGCGCAGGCCCGTGCGCAGCTTGCTTTGCGGCATGGTGGTTTGGGTCTGCGGAGTGCCGCCAGGCACGCGCCTGCGGCCTACTGGGCCTCCTGGGCCGACTCGCTGCGAGCCATTGCTCGGCGTGATGCCGCCCATGCTCATGAGCTCATTGCCGCCCTTGAAGCCGACTGCACGGCCCCCCCTGCCCTCGAAACCTTGCGCCTTGCCCGCTCATCCCTGCAGGCCATCGGGTTCGAGCCTCCTGACTGGGCCCAGCTGCTTCAGGGTGAAGCCCCGTCTCAGCCCGATGAGGACGGATCCCTCGACCTCACGCGCGGGTGGCAGCGCCCCGCTTCCCAGGCAGTCGATGACTTCGCTCACCGTGCCCACTTACGCGAAGCAGATTCGGCCTCCGCTGCCCTGCTGCTCTCGCAAGCCGGTCCGCATGCTGCGCGAGTTTTCGTTGCCCGCCCCACCTTGCCTGAGTTTTCCTTGGCATCGCCGATTTTTCGCGTGCTCCTCTTGCGCAGGCTCCGCCTCCCCCTGCCCCTCACGGCTGCCAGATGCCGATGCCAAGCAAGACAAGACCCTTTTGGCGATCACCGCGCTGCGTGTCCGCGCTCAGGCGTCCTGCGCGCACGTGCTGGCCCGCTGGAGCGAGCGACCGCCCGGGTTTGCAGAGAAGCAGGGGCGACGGTTGCCCTCAATGTCCTCGTCCGAGATCTCAATCTCGACCCCGTCCGTCAGGATGACAGGCGCATTGAGGTGATCGCCAACGGCCTGCCTCTGTGGGGGGGTGCCCAGGTCGCGGTTGACACCACCCTGGTCTCTCCCCTCACCGCTGCTGGTGCCCCGCGCAGGGTCAGGGGCCAAACCGCTGTGCAGCCCTCCAGGCAGCCAGGCGGGCCAAGGAGCGCACCTACCCAGAGTTCTGCCGTGCCCACCGCTGCAGGCTCGCCGTCATTGCGCTTGAAGTTGGAGGGCGCTGGAGCAATGAGGCCGCTAACTTCGTCCGCTTGCTTGCTCGCTGCCGGGCGCGGGCCGTCCCTGCCACCTGCCGGGCCGCAGCCACCTCTGCCTTCACGCTGCGTTGGTCGTCCCTCATCTCCTTCGCAGCTGCGCGGACTTTCGCCGCCAGTCTTCTGTCGCTCCCGCTCGGTGGCACTGCCAACGTTGATGGGGACCCGCCGCTCCTCAGCGAGGTCCTCGTCGACTCCGCCATCCCTCCCCCCATTGCCAGCCGCCTCCCGTGAAGGCTTGCGAGCCTTGCCGTTGCGCTGCACTGGGACTGCCTTGACCGGCAGAAAAAGGTGCGAGGGAATAAAAAAAAAAAAATGACCTCCGGCTTCGCGCGCGTTGCTCCTGTCCCAGGCGGGCCCTGGCGGACCGCGTGCCGCTACTGCGCTTTCCACGGCCGCAGCCTTCCGCCTGCCCAGCAAGTGTATGAGAGTCCTACTGCTCCGCCGACTGCGCGCGCCTTTGCCCCACGCCCCACGCCGTTGCAGATGCGGCGGGGAACTTGATGCCTTGGGAGACCACCGCACGGCCTGCCCCACGGCTGGCGTCTTGAGTCCACGTGGCACGCCCCTGGAACGGGCGGCCGCGCAGGTCTGCCGCGAAGCGGGGGCTCGGGTGGCCAGCAACGTAATGCTACGGGACATGAACCTCGATGTCCCGCTGGCGGATGCTCGCCGCATTGAGCTCTGGCCAATGGCCTTCCCTGGTACCAAGGCGCGAAAGGCGCTGTTGACACCAATCTCGCAAGTCCGGTCTCGCGGGATGGCACTGCGCGCCCGAGGACAGACCGGACGCCCGGGGCGGTTGCCTCCGGAGCTCCTGGCAGCTCGTCGCTGCTGGCTGGTAGTCATCGGCCTTGAGGTTGGCGGGAGAATGGACACAGAGACCGTCACCTTCTTACGCCAACTCGCCGCGGCGAGGGCACGCGAGGCACCCGCGCGCATGAGGCTTGCCGCACGCCGGGCCAGTATCCACAGATGGACTGGCATGTTGGTGGTGGCGGCCCAGCGCGCGTATGCCATGTCGCTGCTTAGAGTTGCCGCTGGCGGGGGCGGAGCATGGTACGGGTGACCCGCCGCCGTGGGGGGATCTGCTGGCGGACGCACGCAGGGTGGAGTCCATCCCGGACAGCCGGCTGCGCTGAGAGGCTGAGCCCCGGCACTCCCTGCCGTGGAAACAGCCGCGACAAAAAAAATTGCCGTGGTCGGGTCTTTGGTTTCAGGGTTGCGTGCTCGGGGCTCGGGCCGCAGTATTTTGCGTAGCGCGAGGTTTTGGCTGGCCGCTGACAATCCGTTTGCAACCTGCAAAAATTTCAGCGTATTTCAGCTGTTTTGCCTGGAACGATCGCAGCTTTGGAGACCACCACGCTCGTGAGCCCCGTCTCGCGGGACGGCACGGCTCGAGCGAGGGCAGATCGCGAGCCAGGAGCGGCCGCTTCCGACGCGGCTAGGCGGAAGCGCCAAGAAACCTATACCCGGAGATCTTGGCGGCCCGCCGCTGCAAGCTGGTCGTCGTGGGGCTGGAGGTGGGCGGGAGGCTCACGGCGGAGACGGTCACATTCCTCCGCCTGCTTGCCGATGCCCGTGCCCGTGCGGCCCCAACACGACTGCGGGCCGCCACGCGCCAAGCTAGCGTCCACAGATGGACGGGTTTGTTGGCGGTGGCGGCACAGCGCGCGTACCCCCCCCCCGACCTGGACGCTCTCCTGCGGACGCAAAAAGGAGTGGAGAGAAAAAAAAAAAAAAGACATCGAAGACGTACATGAATGACATAAAGCCGAGCAGGGCTTATAAACTGCAACGCCTTCCCTCTTTCGGAGGCAATTCTTGCGGTTGGCAGGGGCAAAGAAGAGAACGAAACCACCATCAACAACCGTATCATCCTGGAACTTGGAGCCCTCAATCATATTGTTGTTACTGCCCCAAAGACCCTGGAATCCATCCCACCTGTCAGTCGTGCCCATGAATCCTTGTAATAGGGTCTTTAGTACGCGATCAACCTTTATCACGACGAAGGTGAGTTTGCGAACGGCAGTTTCGTTCATGCGTTCAGACACTAATACTAATACTCACGCGTTAACTTGTAGTATCAATATTGATGAGCTCTCTTATTCTCTTCACGGTAATGAGACTAAAGACAAGGAGTGACGATGCGTGCATGATATTATTACACGTGAAGAAAGAGAAGTTAATAAGGCTTGAGATTCAAGAACGAAAAAAAAAGACTCAAGGACGAGTGAGTTCATGGACTTTGAGAGATATTTCGTGGCGTTGTGCAGTGCGTCCAACGCGTTTCTAGCAGCTTCGACCAGGAGTGGGGATGCATTGACCAACACGTTGACACGGTTGGACCATTCGGCAAGCAAAGGCAGCACGTCGTGCTGCAATGAGGGCGTGCCATTTGCGAACTTGTAAACGAGCGCGGGGCGGCTGCAGTGGCAGAGAAATCACCGGTTTGCTCTCAACTGAGACCCTACCGCTACCGAATGTCGCAGTGTTCTGCTGCCAGCGCGTCACAGTCTCGCCCCCACGCAGTGACGCTGCTGGAGCTGCCCCCGCCATGCTGATGCCGGCGACGGGGTTTGCTTCGTCGTCGAACTGCTGGCGGCGCCTGCAGTGGCCGACCATTACGGGGTTGATAATTGTGCCGGCACGAGAGGCGGGAAAAAAGGTTTAGCAACAAGTCGCATCGTTGTGGTGTGAGTGCTTTGGGGTGTTGAAATGTGTTGAAAGGGGGTGGGGCATGTGCAGCGTTTTGATAAGAGTTGCACGATATCAGTATCCAAGGTTCTTGGAACGTGTTTTTCACTTCGCATGGCTACCATCCTTGGCGACTGGCATGATCACCCAGGCTGGCTGTTTGTGTTATGTCATTTCGTGATGCGGCCACGCTTGCTAAATGTTTCTGACATATAGTGGACATAAATGTTATCCCGTGTTGTGAGGCGAAGCAAACAGTCGTCGTCCATGATTCCGGCGTGCTGGAATCGCACCTAGCCGACAACGTTGGCCAACATTTTGGACTTGTGCGATCCCACCCTCGATTTTGCTTGATGTTTTGCATGGGCTTGGCGTGACGCGCTTGACCACCATCTGCTTTTCGCATTTGTGGCTTTTGTGCTTATTGCTTTGTCGGACTTGTGGCTTTATGATTTGTGCTTTGCTGTTTGGAAAGTTTTGGTTCTTGCATTTTGCTTTCTCATGTTTCTGTATGTCGCTGGATCGATTTTCCTTATGTGTTTTCCTTGTTTTCCTTCTTTCGGAGGCTGGACAAGAAGGAAGGCCTTTAGATCCGCTAGTCCCCGCCACCCTCAGACGTAGGATTGGCCTGTACCTTGGGTTTTTAGGAACTTCGGAAATGCATGGAGGTACAAACTTTGTTGAGCTCAGGCACAGCCAGTCACAGCATTTGGTGGTTTGTGTACTGTATCCTGCTGTGTACTTGGCAAAGGCAGCTGCATCGCTGCGCCAAGTTCCCGCCGAGAATGATGGCACGCGTCTGTTTTCTTGTTTGCACGTGTGAGCCCAAGGGGTGTGAAAGTTGCTGTGTGCCAACATCAGGTGCACACGTCCCATGCGTTGTTGGCATTGGTTGTGTGGGACTGAGCACCTGCGTAGTTGCAAGACATCTTTTCCAGCGCAACCATCCCAGTCCATCGTCTGAGGATGATGGTTTCGTGCGCTTTGCTGTTACAAAGACGCGCAACGATGGCGGGAAAGTGGAATTTGCAGATTTGTGCCGGGCCCAGTTCAGAAGGCAGAAGGCACGCGGACTTTTGACCTGCCATACAAAGTCAATTCAGGCTTGATCCCTGCAAATTTGTGCGGAACATGGAAACACTGCTGTTACAGGTTATTGTTTCGCATGCCGAACATCGTGTTCACGGGGACCAACGCACCATGGGCCTTAGTTCATGAAACAAAAAATACAAAGAATACGGCTTGTCGGTGAATGAGTAATGTACCGGAGAGAGACCACGAGCAGTGAGATACCATGTCAGGCCAGACATGGAACAACGATCCAAAAGCAACGACAGTTTCGACCACGGTGAGCTTGGCACGCCCATGCCTGGGCGAGAGCGCGATTTTCCTCAAGCAGGCGTCCAGTCCAGAAAAGCGCAGGGTGCGGGCCGCAGGCGCCGCTGTGCTGCTTTCCTACGTCGACTTCGTCATACTTCGTCAAAACAAACTCAGGAGGAGACATCAGACAAGACGATGTGCAGGACGCATGCTTGCGGAGACGATTGAAAACATTTGGGTTCCTACCACACCCTGAGTGCTCGAAGCCAGACGTCTGCCAAACTGGTTTGCTCTCACAACAGCGTTGTGAATATTGTGTCTCCTGCCAAGGGTGTTGGAAGATGCAGCCGGACGGCCAATTGATCTCCTCACGACAGAGAATGTGCTTCAGGCATAGTCCGACTGGACATCTTGCATCAACTTGTTTGTTGCTCCCTCCCTCCATGTGCTCAGTACAGATCGGTCCCAGCACATCGGAGTGAATGCAGCGAATGCAGGCACGTTTGGATGGACCCAATGTGTTGGAGACGCAGGGAAGCGTGGACTTTTGCATTGATGGCAAGACCGATACTTGGCCCGCAATCCGTGGACACCCTGCCCTTCTTGGCTGGTGAGACCTCATGTTATGTTTGTTATGTGTACGGCGAGACCGACGGAAGTTTGATTTTGATACATCGGTCTGAAGTGCCCATGGGGTTCTAAACGCCGGCCGGTTCTGGTTCTCACAACTCGGGCATGACGGGTGCATGACGCATGCCTGGTTGCCAGTTTTAACACACGCCATACTTGCGAGCGTGTGCTGGGGTTCCATCATTGTTTTCATTGCTGATTTCCCCAGCTGCGCCCCGAGAATGAGAGGGGAAATCCAGCAACCAGCCCTGCGTCGCAAACTGAACCGTGAAATACCGTGAACAGCTGTTTCCCCGCCTTGAGGAAACCAGTTGCCGCTTGGAAATCGGCCAAAGCATTATTCTGCAGCTTCGGCCAGGCACGGGGCGCAGATGGTGCAGTGTCAAAAAGGGTCAGTGACAAGAGCAGGGTAGAGGTAGAGCGACGTTCCGCGATGCCAAGGCCACCAGGTGGCAAGCTACGGTTTCAAGACGGCGTTGGAGAACAGCACGAAGGTGCCTTCGTCGACCTTCAATGTTTCCAGCGACACATTTTTTGACACTGCGAACCTTCAATGTTGTTTCAAGCTCAGGTTCGGTCCTGTGATCCGATTGCCTTCAAAATGGAGACGTCTGACGATGGCGCCTGTTGCTGTTTCACTTTTTACTTGGTTTGCTTGAGGGGGGGGGCGTCGAATTCAGAGGTATGCGCATGATGCTTTTTGGCGTTACGTGCTTTACAGTGCCAAACAATGCTTGGCAGTGTTTGACATGCTTTACCCGGTGGGAACGGGTCCGAGGCTCTTTTTGGCGCGAGGTCAGTGTGAAGGCGGCGGTGAATACGCCCAGCGCGGGCGGATTGATGGCTACCTGGTGAGCACTGTAAGCATTGTCCGCAAGAGATGGACCAAGAAACTCCTTGACCCCACAGATAAATCAGATAAAGCCATGAAAAGCTATGAACTACTTCACTTAGCAATTCATTTAACTTTGCAAGCCAGCATGGAGCGACTCGCCCACTCCAGGTGGGGCCCTTTCTTCTCTCCGGCTCTGGCTCTGGTGGGCCGGCCCACAGCGAACCGCCGATGATGGCGAATGAGGCGAAGGCCAGGCCTTGGAAAACAGTGTGGAAGTGTCTTGTTTTTGTGCTTCAGAATATCAGAACTCCGAATTCTTTTCATCTTCATGGCGGCGGGCCGGCAGGTTCGGACTACTACAGCTCGCTCCATGGCTACATAAGCTCGGTGTGACACCGTGCCGGCGAAACACCGCGCTTTGAGCATGTCTTGCAGGACTGGTTCCGGCAGACGCGGGCTTGGTACCGGTGATGGTTCCTCGGCATTCACGTCGAGACCTCCACGCCATTTTTCTGTTCCAGCGGCACTTCATCTATTTGTTCAGACACATGCCCAGACCACCGTGCCTCCACCTGCGGCAGCTCCTCCACCTGCGGCAGCTCCAATTGCCTTGACGCCCTCGCCCCCAGCAGTGATGCCGCTGCCCGTGGAGTCGCATGGATGCACAGTAGAGGTTCGGTGCTAGGAGCTGCTGGGGTCAGTTGGGAATCAGCTGCTGTCCAAAAGAGGGAGCCTGGCAGGCCTATCTTGACTACTACAAGCACCCCGAGAGTTCCCATACCGGATGTTCCGGCCGCCGCTCGACCCGGTTAGAAGATACAATTCGGATTGCGTGGCGAATTGAATCTGGCTTTCAGGGCTTGTATGAAGCCTTTTGGGTTCACCCTTGGGCAGGTGCGCTTCGCTGTTTGGGTTGGGGTGCACGGGGCACCGGACCGCGGCATTGGCAGTTCAATTCTAGATTCATGAGGAATATGAAGATGGCAGGCTGCCAGGCGCTTGTAGCTTTGATTGGGCACTCGCTGTGGAATGAGAATCTCAGGATGCGCCTAGCCGTGTTGCCTCAGCAGTGATCGATGCAGCAGAGCGACCTTGCAGAACTTGGTATGGCTGCACAGCTGCGGCAACCCTTAGGGTAAGCAACCGCGAGTAGAAATGCTGTGGGAGTTCCTTGGTTGTGAGGCAGTCTGGCATGCCGTTGCCCCAGCGCATGGCCGCGGCCACTGCAGCAGCAGCGGCGGCCAAAAGCATCGTGAAGCCGGCGAGCAAGGAGGCGCCGACAAGTGGGGGAAGAACTGGGCCAAAGAGAGTCAATTATGAGCCAGTTGCTATGACCCCAGAATCACAAAGCCACGAGTGCAGGCCATTGCCGAAGCGGCGGCTCAGCTGCGACGCACGTCCAAGCGCTGAGAGCATTGCTGAGAGCATTGCGGGAAGATCTGCCAGTTTTTTTTTTTTGCCTCGAAGTCCAGCAGATCTCATGGATTCAGGGATGACCAATGTTTTTGTGGCGAGCCACGGAAGTCAAAGTAGAGTCGGGGAGAGTCAGATAGTCCGAGGCCGCTGCTGCTGGCCTGGACCCCAGCCACCTACAGGCCGTCAGCGCCGCCTTGGAGAAGGTGTGAGCGCCTTCTTAAAGAAACGGGAGCGGAGGGATGCAGAGGGCTAGTGGCTTATAGTGGTGATGTGGCTAGTCACTTCTGTAGGCCTCGCCAGCCCGGCTGCCGGCTCTCCTGGCTGTATGGCGTGCCGCCGCCGACGCTGCTCGCCACGCGGCGGAGCGCGGCCCGGAGAAGGCTCTTTTGCCCTTGAACCGCTGTCAGCAGCCTTTGAGGGGGGAAATGCCATAAATGCCTCTACCGGCGAAGTGTGGAATCTTGACTTTGCGCTGCAGGTGTCGCACGTTGTCGAGGCTTCTGCTGCTGCGGGCCTGTCGATCGAGCAGCAGGCGCTGTGCGAGCAGCGTGTACGGCAGCGCGCAATGCAGCATGTAGCGCACCACAGCGCCTCCTTGCGCCCCCGTAGCAGCCGTAGCAACCATTGCATATTTCGCAGGCCCAGGCAGCTGCTGCAGCTGCAGTGGCTGCTGTGGCTTCAATGACGACACCAGGAACACCGTGATACCTACTTGTCTTGCTGCCTCGCAGCGGCGAGTTCAGGAGTGATAAGTAGATCGCACCAGACATCGGTGCATGCTGCATGGCATATGCTGCTTAGCCACAACCTCCCTCACCATCAGAAGCGGAATTTTAAGTTGAGGCATGTGGGGTTGTAAGGTTGGGATGTGACACACTAAGCCTATACATTCCAAAAAAGCACCGGTGGAGGCCCAGAGGCCGTCATTACAGCTGCTGTGAAGGCTGCCGAGGAGGCTGAAGAAGATTTCGGGGGGTGAGCTGGCTTGGCTGGTGTGTGGCATGCTTGGATTGAGAGCGTTTGAAATTGCAGCACTCTTCGCTGCTATACGCAAGGCTGGCATGGCGCTGGACAAACAATCGCAGATGGCGGCTTGACCACAGTTTGAAGGACGAGAGCCGGAGAGCTGCGTGCAACGCGCGTGGCGGGCAGAGAAGCGCCCAGAAATGTCCAGAAGCATCTTCGGAAAAACTTCTTGCTTCCTGTATGTCTCGTGAACAGCCCGAACAGCCCCACGTCATGGGACAGAAATGTCTTCCGAGTTCCGTGGTGCTGCAATTTAGCTGAGGCGGCCGTGGTGCAAGTCCAGCCTCCACAGGAGCTTTTCTCTGCCCCCATCGAAGAACCAGATCCAACATGAGCGCACTCGGGATGCCCCGTGTTGCACGACAGATGCGAGACTGAGAGGATCAGGAGGCACTAGTTCGAATCCTCCACGCTGCAGAGCGCCCTGGCCTGCACCGGTTGTGGGGGAACCCTGCGTCTTGGCCGTCGCCGCTCCGTTTGGAAATTTGGGGCTTCTGAAGTTGACCGACCTGTGATCCCCGGCTTGGCTTCCATGGCCCTTGATTTGAAGACCCTTTTTTTGTGGGACTCGCAGTTGAAGTGCCGCTGCGCCCAGTCAATCACAGTTCAAGTTTGCAATCTGTTCAGCCGAGGATCCTACCGAGAACAACGCCGCCGCCAGAGGAAGTTCCCGAGTTTGACGGCCTCTCAGCGCCAAAGAAAGGCAAAAACGGTGGGTGGATCGAAGTTCGGAAGCTGTTCTAAGTCTGACTCTACCTGCTGAAGTGGACCACCACATCGTGTAGCATGGGATTTTGTTGTGGGGCACTGATTGAAGATCAAGGCAAGGCATGTGATGATTAGTGGCAAATGGCCCCTGAATGTGGCCAGCGCCCAGGAAGCAGTCCTGCTGCCAAAGTGGTGGCCGACGCCATTACTCAGGCGGAGTGTTCGAGTTGGGAGAAGTCGTTTGTGGGGAGCCCAGCGCCGCAAGGTGATCCGAGACATCCCGGTGAGCCCGCAGCAGAAGCTGCAGGCCTGAAGCCCTCAAAGAGGAAGGAAAAGCAGCTTTTTTGAGTACCTTGAGTACCTTTGAATACGTGAGCAGTCCTGGGCACCGAGCGCAGGTGGTGTCGGCGGCTGCTAGGGCTGCGCAGGTCGCCGCCGAGCACTCCTCCACCACGGACCCGTGGCCTCAACTTCATTTCGCTTGCTGTTTTGAAATTCGTGGAGGGGGTCCGAGTTGGGCCCACCCCGACGATTTCATGCCGAATGTGTGGCCTGGACCTTGAGACATTCCTCAGACCTCCTTCGATGGCGTCCAGATGGTCATGGAGGCAGCCGAAGCGGCAGGCATCAAGGCGCCTCTGAACTTGTGTGGCGTGGGCAGAGGGGTATTCCGGAAAATGTTCTGGGGCTGTTTGTGCAGCTTGTTGGCCGTTGAGGACGTGGAGAAGCTGCAAAAAGTTCGAGAGAAGGCCGAAGAGCTGACGCCGGAGAAGCAGAAGGCACTTTAGCGCAGTTCCGGAGATGTTTTGAGTTTGTGTTGAGCCCAGGCTTTCTCGGGCAGGAAGGGGTCCTGTTAAGTAATGTGGGACTACCAACATGCGTGGGGAAGTCTGCAATCTGCTTATGTCTGCAGTTTGACAGATCAGCGCGACTCCGGTAGCCGGTGGCTGCATGTAGATGCTAGATGCTGTTTTAATATGCTCAGGTCTTGTGCCTTCCTGAGCCTTACGGAGCCTTCCTGGGAATCTCTTGGAGCCCAGGCTGTCTCGAAGTCCTTGGAGGCCGCGGTGGATGAACCGAGCACGTGGCCCGGCCAAACCAGCTCAAGAGCCCTTGCAGAGAGTTGAGAGCCCTTGCGTGAGGTGTAATGTACGCGCCGAAACTGACAAACCCAAACTTGAAATCCGACAATCTATAAGGCCAACTTAACACATGTAAAGCCAGACGCTTGGGTGCCAACGAAAGTGCTGCGCACGGTTATCCTCCCCCGCAAAAAGCACCGTGAAGCACGAAGGACACCGGTACATGCGGCCGCAAAAGTTGCGGCGGTGGTCAAAGCAGCCGCAGACTCCGGTAGAGCTCTTAGTGCCTTAGTGTAGGCTTGGGATTTGAGATCCATTCATCCAGAATGGTCCAATATGGTCCATGATACCATCGATGCCAGTAAATCCAGTTTGCATCTCAGACCCCACATGTCTGCGGTTCGCCATAGTTGTGATAGACCCAGGCATGACAGAAGAGCAACAGGCAGAAGTCGCCGCAGCTGCCGCGTCGGCCATGGCAAAGGCGTCATCAGGGATTGCAGGGCGCCAACTTCCACGACCCTTTCGCACATAGATTCTACGTGTCTGTCGCATCTGCCAGCACAGGGGTTTAACATGTCACAGAAGCATACAATTTTTTCGGTGTTTTTTGGAAACATGGCCGATATGAGCATGTCTAGTTTGACTAAAGTAAAGTCCTTTCGGTGTTATTAAACGCGCGTATGTTTTTAAGCGCGCTGTCGTTCAAATCTCGTCTCGGTGCCAGCTGAAGATGGAGATCCCTGTCCGGAACCATCTTTAAACTGCTTTCGTGGGGAGTTGGGGTTCATAGGTCAGTCCCTGCAAAGCCCCCGAACGAGCTTTTCACAGGCTGCCGAGCCAGCGCCGAAGGCCGGTCCACCCGGATAGGGCTGCTATGGCTGTTGCAGTGCCGTTGTGCACAAGTTTTGCTGTTTGTGCTTCGTACCACAAACGGAGTGCTGTACCCTCACCGAGCTCTCTGTCTTTGCCTGAGAGGAGCAGATCTCCGAGTTGATCAAGGCAAGATCTTTTCTGTATTCTTTTGCAGGCGACTCGATATACTCGATCTCCCAATCGCAGTTGCAGTAAGACTCTGCAAGATAGAGGCGGCGAAATCACTAGGCCTCGGCGACAGCGAGCCCCTTGTGACAGCAGCAAGTGCTCTGTGGGTAGACTCTGGCCTGGGCAGGAAGAAGGTTTCTGAGAGCATCCTAAATGTTCAAAGGGGCTACATGGCCACGTGGTGCCGGCTATGCTGGCGACGAAGAGACCCTGAGCAGAACCTGTGGCCCGAGGCTCGAGGCGATCCTGGCCTCAGCATCTTCGTTGACGCCGGCGGAGCTCGAGTCTGTGATCAAGTCCATGCGCGCAGCGCAGGATTCCTAGGATTCCCAGGGTTCCTAGGATTCCAGGAGAGCCGCGACCCTCGTGAAAAAGTGGCCCGAGCTGCTGCCTTTCTGACATTGTTCTTCAAGTTTCAGAACCGACGTCCACCTATTTCTCTTCATGCTGGTGCATCCGACCAGGGTCAGTCCGAAGTTGAGCCCTCTGAGCCCTCCGAAGAAAGAGCGGAGGCCGGTTTTGAGGGGATGGGGAACAGGGTAGCGGCACGTAGCGGCACGTAGCGGCTGATCACTTGCATGGCCTCGTTAGCAATGCTAACACCACATGCTTGGCAAGGCGACCGCCCGAGGCCATGTCTTTATGCCGAACAGGAAGCACACTTCCGTGCATGCGCTTGATCGGTCAGCTTTTTCGATGCCACCACCTAGTGTTCCCCAAACCACTGAAGTCTCGAACTCAAGTCGCAAACCAAGGCACGAAGTACTCACCCCAGGCTAGACTTGTGGATGGGGTAACCGGGTAAGCTCGGGCTTCGCAGCGAGGATATTCACGATCAACCAATGTACAGCGGGTGCGCGCGCACACACACACACACACACATACACGACCGCCCGTGAGTGCGGGCTACCGTAAACATAGTTGTCACCTTGTTTTCCCGCATTGCTTAGACAGTCTTGACAGTTTTGAACAGAGCGAATCGGCGTGAATCGTTCCCGTGCCTGCGCCGTTCTTTTGAGTTTTTCCCTCTTGTCAGATTTTGTTTTCACTTGTCGTTGTCCCGAGGGCCCGGCGGACGAAGACCTGCCCATCCCTCGAGGCCGAGGCCGCAGCGGCGCGGCGCGAGCTTGAGGAGCCCTTCCCCCTCCCCTTCCCCCTCCCCTTCCCCTGCCTTTGCGCTGCTCCTTCCCCTTCTTCCCCTTCCACACGGGGACCTGCGCACATACACAATCAGAGGTGACGCTTCCGAGCGGTGCTTTCTCTGGAAGCTTGGAGGAGCACCCGCCTGAGGCGTTTGTGCGGCGGAGGCCCCACTTGCCAAGCGCCACATTCCAGGAATCTTCCTGAAAGCGGGTTTCCAGAGGGTTTTCAGATGGTCTTGACGGTTTTTTCTGAGGTACTTTCTTCGAGGGCCGTTGGGATAAGTGTTGAGCTGTTTCGGCACGCCCCTCGTGCCCCCTGCACAAGGCAGCGCACGAAGACCTGCCCCAGCCATGCGCTGCAGCTGCTCAGACAAAGTGGCAAGTCTAAGTGCGAGGGTTTGTGCCCGTCTTACTAAGTCTCTTATCTGTAAACAAGAGGGTGGGCGCCCCTTCCCTGCGTCGCCGGCTCTGCTGAGGAACATTGCAGAAGACAGAGAAGCACCTCGGCAAGGGTTCCACAGAAGCACGTGTCGACCCATTTGCCTTGTGGTATGTGGCACCAGCCCGCAGATGCCCGCAGGCAACCACAGAGACCATCCGCGTGGGGTCCCCACAGGACAAGGCCCGGGCGGCGATTCGCATCTTTTTACATGATTGGGACCATCGCAGATCACTGCCCTATCGCCTTATCGGACCTATCGCCCTCGCCAGGCACGGCCATCCAACCCGACTTCTCCGCGCACCTCCGAGAGTGGGAGCCTGCCATCTGGCTGCAGATGCTGACTGAGATGTAGGATGCGAAAGGTTTGAGGTACTGAAGAGCTTGAGCTCCCTGAGCCCTTTCAACACAACACAAGCTTGCAGAGTTGCAACACTGGCTATTCGCAGCAGAAGGTTCAACCGTGCCTGTCAGCACGAGTGTCCACTTCACTTCGCCCTTTTGTTGTCGCTCTGTTTTGCAGAGCCTCTGCCGCGGCGGGTGCGTTCATTTTACTTCGCCTCCGTTGCGACTTGCGTGCTTTTGCAATGCTTCTTTGCCCACTTTTGCTACTTCTTCCATCTTCTTCCTTCTCTCTTTTCTCCTCCTCTTGAGGCCCGAGTACGAGGCCTGCGCCTCGGCTGCCTCGGCGGCCTCGGCATCGGCAGTGCAGACGCCGAGCACGGCCGCCTCCATGCCGAGCACCCCGTGGGGGTCCCCGCTGTGTTTCAAGAGAGGGGGCTTTCTTTTCAGAGAACTTAGTGGGAGTGCCGAGGCCCATCAAGAGCTGGCGCTGTGGTTCGACGATCGGACCCTTCCGTGCAGCTTGAGTGCTTGTGTGCAGTGTTTTGTTGTTTTGATGCCGAAGTCTGCTCTGATTTCTCTGATTTCTCTGATTTCTCTGATTTCGCGAAGAGGACAGGGCTCCTACGGCACGGTGTGCAGGGCCCTGGAGATGGAGAGCGGCTTCATCTTCTGCGTCAAGAAGTCCGTGGCCGCTCGGACGGACGGCGTACAGGGGGGACACAATCGACATCAGTTAAACGTGAATGCAGAAAAACACCCTTCTCCAGAACTGAATCGAAATTCTGGCGAGGGAGAACGCTTTCGATCAGGTGACGGAGGATGACGAAGAGGGCCAGAGGTACATCCAGAAGCTGCGTGAAGAGCTGGCGCCATGCCCGCAGAAGATGGCACAAAATTGCCGAAATCTGCTCATATTTTCTGCGAATTCCTCGAGTTCCAGTTCAACATGAGACATTCGAGACTTAGAGTTCTCATCTGACTGTTAATCTGACCCCTCGGCTTCTAGGACTCCCACGCAACGTTCGTCGGGGGAGTTTTAAAGCTTTGTTTCTGTTGTCGAGACTACTGAGGACATTTTGCGCTCCTTGCGGCACCAGAATATCATTTGCCACTTGGATTTTAAGCTGTTCTGCGCTGCGTGTGTCGAGAAGTCCTGTGAGCAGAGCTGGGAGGTTGCCTCGGCCACGAGTATCGCAGCGACACCCTGTGACCTTGTTTGGGAGGGGTGTGAGCAGGTGTGATGTGCGGTGCGCACGAGATGTAATGCTGTTGTCACTGTCAGTTGTTGGGTGCTTGTGCTGTGGCGTCGTCATCATTCGGGCAAACTTTTTCGAGGTACATTTTTATGGAGTTTGCGGAGGGAGGGCCTAGAGCTGAGACGGGCAATGCTTCTTACAGTGAAGGGTCTGAGTCTGTCCGAGTCTGAAGAGATGGATGTGTAGGTTTTTTTGTTTTTTTTTGGGGGGGGGGGGGGGGGGCGCATGTGATTCGATCTTTTTCTCCTCCAGGTCTTTGGCTACCATGCTCAAGGAGTTTGGCCCGCTCGACGGACGGCCCATGCTGAGCTGTTTTTTTTATATTTCGTTTCGGTGACGGCTGGCGGCCCCCTGTGGGGCACGGCTGGAGTGACTGGCAAAAGCCGACGGGTCACTCCAGTCCACCATGTCCACAGTACCTTTCAAGAATCTGAGTGCGCCCGGGCTCCAGGATTTATCGCACATGAAGTCACAAGACATGACCTGCAGGCAGAGATTGAGTTTCTATGCAAGAGAAGTGTGCAAAGCCTGATGCTGACTACTGCTCCCCTCATTCTGCCAGTAGATGTGTCAACCATTTTCACCGCGCAGCTTTGCAAGTGTTCTTTTTCACGTTCTATCGCAAGCAAGCACCCGAGTCTGCCTGCATGGGCAGCTGTGTCGGCACGTACCAGCTCCTTCGCGAATGGAGAGCACTTCTCCAAACAAACTTCGCCAAGAGCTGAGAACCCCTTTCTTTAGCAGACATGGCTCCGCCAATCTGTGCCCGCCAGACCTCAGGACCAACGGCCGCGGTGCCGGGCAGCCAGGAGCTGGCGACCGTCCTCCTGGGCCTGACGACCACCTTCATGTCCGCTCCAGAGTCTCCCAGTCCTTACACTCCCTCACAGAAATTCCAGCCACTTTATGTCATAGCGACCCTTAAGGTTTAGGAAGTTTAGGGCTTAGGGGCAGGAACTTTGCAGATCATGTCGCAAGATATTTCGAGCAGCTTGCTGTGACAGGTACACCTCGATTGTTTTCGGCTGGGGCTCGTGGCAAGCGCTGCTGGAAGAAGATGTTTGACATCAGGCATCGAGGGACTTTAGCCTTCTCCCGGCTCCAAACCTTTTTCCTTCGCCCATGTCTCTCAGAGTCGCTCATCACCACAAATGTGAGCACCGCAGCCGAGGATGGGGTCTACTTGTCCCTGTGCTCAGGCTCGGGGATTGTCGTTGCACTCCAAGCTGCTCCAATGACAGCAAGTCCAACGCCAGAGCAATCTCAAATTTCCTGTTTTAGGGCTTCCTGGCCATGCCATGCGTGAGCCAAAGGCGGCGATTCTTGCGACGACCGAACCAGCCGCATGATCCTGCTCTTCACCGTTGCACAATTTGGATGCTTGTTCTAAATTCGACAAATTCGACTCATATTTGGTAGCCACTTGTGCGGGCACTCGTACATGTCGTACATCGCGCCTGACTCAGTCAAAGGATGGGGCCTCTCCGTGACCTTCATGGGCTTTGTTATCGACAGCCGTGGGCCTCGCTTCGCATGTGCGGTGGGTGGCCTGCTGGAGTCGGGTGGGCTGCTCCTTCTGGGTTCTCTGGCCTTGCAGCTTGAGAGCGAATGCTTGCGCGAGTGCTTTGCGAATGCTTTCTCTGCACTTCTTTCATCTTCGCTTTCGCTCCGAAGGGGTGTGCACGACACACCCACGAAAGCGGAGGCTCAGCACAGGGGTCCAGTGAGTCCGTGTTTGATGGCTTCTTGGCGGGAGTCCTGATGGTCTCCGTCGGTGGCGGAGCGATTCAGGCAGGGTGGTGTCGGTCGCGCAGCAGAAATTGGCTCCTGCCCCGAAGCTACTGCTTTTGCCCTCCAAGAGAGGTCCAGTCCATGAAGCTGCCCTTCTTGGTAAGTGCCCAACTCTTCCCACTGGTGATGACAATCGCCAACTGCCTCGACGATGCTTCGGCCAGCGTCCCACTGGGTGACTTGATCTACGACGGGCTTGAGTGGATGTGCTCAAGTAGCATGCAAGTATGCAAGTTTGTCGAAGGCCATTACCAGCTTTACCTGAATGGTTTCAGCCGCTTCTGGATCTTCACCGGCTACAGTGGCCTGCTTCTTGGGCTGGAGTGCTGTTTTTCGGTGCTTTTCACCTAAACACTGTGGCCCACGTTTTTCAAATCCATTGCCCTTGCCTAGTGAGTTGCCTTGAAGGTCTTCAAGGCTTTTTTTTTCTCCGCAGGAAGTAGATCGGACGAACGGGTGCCAAGGTGCCTGGCGCTGTCCGCAGTGTTGGGTCTTAGCTGGTGGGGTGCCGTGGCTGCCCTCGGCACTCGACTACCCACGTAGTGCTCCGGAAAGCCAGACGCGCCATAAGTCCATAGTCGCGCCTAGAATTAGCCCATCTCAACCCCTGGGCTATCTGAGCTGTATGCCCAGGTCGACCAAACCGACGCCTCAGCGCCATCAGCGCAGCCGAGCACCAGGAGACTCCCCAAAAGGATTCGAGAGAAGGTGACTGAGGTGACTGAGGTGACTGTTAGGTGACTGTTAGGTGACTCAGTCCGTGTGATTCTACTGGAGTAGGAGTCCGATTCCAAAGAGGGACCGCGGCCTCGCCTCCACGGGCTCCCGCTGCTCCAGCAGTGCCTGGGCTCAGTCAAAAGATGAGAGCAGCCAACCCGTCAGGGGGAGCACAGAGAGAGCAAGGCTTGAACGGAAGATTGTCGAAGGACAGATTGTTTTTTACCCTCTTAAGCGCTCCAGTGAACCTCATCGAGCAAGGATCGCAACCTTCGAGTTTGCCTTCGTCATGCTGCTGCCCGTTTGAAAAGCGCCTTCGTATCAGGCTGTCACAGCGCAGGAGATGCAAAGTGCACTGTAGGGGGATCGCTAGGCGGAGTGTTGAGTTCTTCCGAAGCAACATGTACGTCGGCCTGAACAAAGAGTGGCTGCGGTCCCTTGGTGACGGGGTGCCTTAGTCGGCATTGCTATTGTCCATGTGGGCACTTCGTGCCAGATCTCCTTCGGGTAGAGCTCAGGAGACACACAACACCTACCTCAAGATCTTCACAGCATCGCTACCCCTTGCTATGGTCTTTGTGCCCCTCTTCAACCGATGCCTCGCGCGCGGCTTCGTGTTCACCTTCGCGGTCTCCATTGCTCTAGGCACACGATGGCACATGATGGCATGTGGGTTGGGATGCGGATTGGCATGTGGATTGGCATGTGGGATTTATATGTGGGATGTGGATGGGCTCGCTCAAAACCTGGGAGGCGAGATCTGGAATCTCATCGCCCTGGTCCCCGTCCTCGAGCTCCAGGCTTCAGCACCGCTCTGGTGCTGCAAGAAAGGGGCGGCCCTTATCATCCTTATCCTTCCGCGCAGGTCGTGGCCTTTGTGGCCTACACAAGCTGGCGGGCCTTGCATCTGGGACTCTCCTTACATCTTTCGCCACTTGAGGCTTTGCAATGGACTTCCATTTGAGAGCAGTGCTCACAACTTGTGTGGGGTGCACGGGTTCTAAACTTCGCTCTTTCCTGCCTTCTTGTCTGATGTCTCACACACCGTCCTGAGTCTGTGCATGCCCGTGCATTGCTGCATTACTTATCTCCAGGCTCTTTGCCTGCCTCTATGTCTTCATAGGGCACAGTGGCTTGGCAGCAAGCCGTCCATCACATACATATACATATATATATATATATATTATTTATTATGTATTATTTATTATTTATTTTTTATTATTTGTTATTTATTATTTGTTATTTATTATTCATTATTTATTATTTGTTATTTATTATTTGTTATTTATTATTTATTATTTATTAGTTTTTATTTAGTATTTATGATTTGCTATTTATTATGTTATTTCTCATTTATTACTTATTATTTATTATTTATTATTTATTATTCATCATTTATTATTTATTGTTTATTATTGATAATTTATTATTTGTCCTGGCGAAGGCTTCGGGAACCGGAGCTCTGGCACCATCAGCGCCCTCACCACCATCGGCGGCTGCGTCATCTCGGGCCTCATCTGGCCCTGCGCCAGGCTGTCGACCTTCGGCTGGATGCTGTGGGGGAGTCAAGAGTTGCAGGCTGCAGGTTCCAGTGTGGTTATTATGAAGCCAGCCCAAAGGTGGACCGTATGGTACCACACCACTTCCCTCCAATTCCCAAGGAAGGCGCTGGCTGGGACCCTTGCCCCGATGAACATGCCGCTGACCACAAAGGGGGAGAGCCGTTTCTCATGCGGTGCTCGTGGTGTGCCCTTCCCTTGCCTCATCCCCCATTCCGTATTCACAGTCCTCTTCCGCTCATGCCATCAGTGCCTGTGGGCACTTTCTCGCCCTGCATGGCGCTCTGTTGTTGCTGCCAGCTGTCCACCAATCCCAACCCGGCCTGTGATAGCCTGAGGTTCTCGCTGCTCCTGAGCTTGCCTCTCATACTGATGACGCTGTCCCTGCATCGGCACCTTGCCATGTTCCCATCTGGGGAGCTGCGGACCGAAATTGGCAAAGGCAAAGGGCCTGCAGAGCGGCTCTTGCCAGAAGGCTTGGGCTGGTAGGATACGTCATCCAGTTAGCATCTGGTCACGTATGGTTACACGATGTGGTGCAAGGGTTCTTGTAGATGTGGTCATGTTGTGGTGCATTTTGTGGCGTGTCGCTAGTGTCGCAGGCCCTGTCCACGTGCATAGGCTCTTTGGTGCTAAAGGCACGGCAGCTCACCATGCGCCGCTTCAGCAAGTGTTTACCAGAACTCAAAGGTCTAGTTCTGCAGCCTGAATTCATCCGTCTGCGCCACCTGAGTATACGACGGTTTGCTTAGAGAACTCTTCGTCCAAGTCTCAGATTCTGGAAGATTGTGCAGATCTGGAATTGGTGGGGCCATGCTTCCAGCCACAGCTGAAGCCTATCATGAAGCCTGCTTGAAGCTAACAACTTTGAAAGATCGACTAGTGGTGAAGGAAGGCGCCCGCCCGGTTGCAGGTTTTGCTGTTTCTGCGTGAGCCAATTTTGCAATTTTAACATGTTCACCTCAGCATGTTCACCTCAGCAACAGGAGGTTTCTTTATGCAGAGTCTAGCCTTTTCGCCGCAACTTCGCGCGCTTTGCCAATGTCTCAGCGCATCACAACGGGTGGCTACTAGCAAAGGATCACGATGAGAGGGACCTACAGAGGGTTTTCTTGCGTGGGTTCCCCATGATGCTCGCGATTGTGGATGCTTCTAGGGCTGGAACGATGTACTACTGATGTGCTCCTCTTGCTCACCTCACGGTCTCACGTTCATATGCCATGGTGTGCTCTCCAGATACCGGCACACGGGGTCGTCTGACATTTCATTCGAATTCTCCGTCAGGGTCGCTGCGCAACTTTGCTTTGGCCTTCAGACGGCCTCCGCATCTTCCTGCGGCTACTGCAATGGGTAGCTGCGTAGCCAGTTCTGATGGCAGCCGCAAGGGACGCGAAACTGTGGGCAGAAGATGAGAAATATGAGCCGAGCTTGCAGCCCCTCAACCGCTGGCAGTTGCAAACACTTGCAGCAGCGACACTTGCTGCAGAGCAACACCTCTTCCAGGTGGGGAACTGCAGACCTCAGCCTTAGTTCTTGTGCCTGCCCCCTGCGCTCGTGAGATCCGCATATCTTAGATCCTTAAAGCGCGAGCCCCGGAATGCAGCGACACTATGCCAGTTCTCTTATAATTCCCGAAATTTCTCGCAGGACAGCTCCTCCGCAACACCGTTATGGGAATGCTGCAAGGCCGGGCCGGTTGGAATTCAAGCACAACCTTTTCCGTTAGAAAGACCCCGGATCGACGCCTGAGTATCGACAGTGGGCTTTGTGGACCGAAGCGCGACTGAACAGGCTTGGCCTACCTTCACACACGAAGTCCCGTCGTCGTTCATAGAGACATCAAGAGCGCGAACGTGCCACTTGGCTGCAAGCATCTGCAAGCTGCCGTGCGCTCCTTGTTGACTTCTAGATCCTGTCGAGCAAATGCAGAATAACAGAAGAAGAAGGTAACGCCGAGCAGCTCCCGTCACAAACCTTCCGTCACCGAATCCCGGGGAGTTTTCTTTTTTTTTTGTGAGCTTGAGGCTTTGCTTCTTGTCGTCCCTGTGGTAGGCTGCTGGACCTGGACTTCAATGTGAAGCTGGCAGATTTCGGCTGCTCCAAGCGCTGCCAGGAGGAGCACAACCTCGCAGTGCGAAGAGGGATTTCTGGGGGGGCTTTCTGGGGGCTCTTTGCGAGTAGTGACGAGTAGTGAGTAGTGAGGACCTCACAACGACGTTCAGAGCCACCGGCTCGCTCCTCTGGATGGCGCCAGAGGCACTCCCCACTTTTGCTGTACATTTGGGGCATCGCGGACCTGCACCTCTCGAAAACTCGGTGCAGGTCGTTTTGGGGACCACCGGCTTCGGACGCAAGGCGCGCTCAAGATATCGCATGCGATGCATGGTGGGAGCGTGGCATTTTCAAGCATCCCAATCTCACCCAAGCTGCCCAAAGGGGAGGGGCCACTTGAGAGGCAGACATCTGGAGCTTCGGCTGCACCGTCCTGGAGGCGATGACCGCCGAGCCGCCCTGGGGCAGAGGCCAAAGGGGTCGAACCTCTCAAGAGTTTTCAAAAGATGGCCCGTGCATTTTTGATAACTTTTGCATTTCTGGCACATCTTGGCCTGTGCCTGCGCAAAAGCCCTGAGTGTAGCAACGATGCGGGGATGTGTGGCAGGGTGTGGCGATGCTAGGTGAACTTGCTCCCTTAAGGGGTGCTTAAGCATGTAAGAGGTGCCATTGATGGAGCTCCTGCAGCAATGAGGCCGAGCTTCAGATGTGGAGCTGTCAACTGTGGACTTGTGGGCTATCTCTGTTAAAACTCGGCGAATCGCACGGCCCCCTGTGCCTTCATCTGGCATCTGCGGTGAAAGGAAGATCGGCTACTCGGAAGAGACTCCGCCCATCCCAGCCTCTTCACGGCGCTTCGAAGAGACGTTCATGCAAATCACAGAAGACATGCGAGTTGATCCGAATGCTTCGTTTCAGTCACCCAAAACAAATTGGGTCGTGTGGTCAGTTCGCGAAACTGTGACATGAGGGTATGGCCCTCCTGGGTGGAGGTTTGTCTGTTCTATTTTCGGAAACCCTAAACCCTAAACAAAAAACCCCTAAACCCTAGCGAGGGCAGGTGGCCAGAAACAAAATACCTTGAACAACCCTAACCCTAAATCAGTGGAACGCTAAGGAGGGGACTTCTGCGGCCCTCCTGTGCCTGCTCCAGAGCAGCCTGCAGCGGAGCGCCGATCTAAGGCCTGCATCCGATACTCAAGAAGTCCTGATTCCATGGTGCTATATATATATATATATACATATACATATATATTTATATACATATATATTTATATTTATATTTATATTTATATTTATATTTATATGTATATATATATATATATGTATATATATATATATGTATATATATATATATACATATATGTATGTGTATGTAGTTATATGAGGATGAATGCGTATATATATATATAGACATATGTATCGTTTGAATGTGAATGTATATACGTGTGTTGTGTATCTATACATATATGATTATGTGTGTGTAGAACATAAATGTCAGTTAAACGTCCAGCAACTAGGCTGCACGTGTACGTAGATTAACGTACGCAGGACACCGACGTGTGCAAATTGCCAGTGCGGGCAAGCGTTAAACACCACAACCGCCATTGCATATGCATGAGCACGCCCAGAGCAGCACATTCCTCGTCGAAACGCTTTTCAGAACAACAAAATGTGAGTGTTAGGACGTGTTCTGCTTGAACACTCAGCTGACCCCATAAACCAAGGCTTGGACAAAAACAAGACGCTTGTGGAACCATGTTCCCCTTCCGTTTCTTCTTTCTTTAACAGGCCTACGGCCACGGAGCTTCTGAGCCATGGGCCTCAGCTTCTGCCGGGGCAGACTGTGGCTTGCGGGCTACGAGCGCGGCCTAGATCGGGCTAGGCAAGATCTTGGGCATGCCCAGGGGCGTGCCGTGTACCTTGAAGTCTACAGACGCGCGCAGCTAGCATATCTCAGACCCTTGACCCCGTGAAGAACGCCCAAGGTTGCGAGTACTTCATGCCCACGGTCAAGGACCGCAGCGCAGCGCCTCCAGTGCTCTACGATGCTCTTCTTGCGTAAGAGAAGTGCAGCACGTGCAGTTGTCGGAAGGCTTTTGCTCTAAAACGGCGAATTGACTTGGAGCCTCAGCTCATAGATAATCCTTCTTGGAAGGACCGTCGCAGGCACCACGAGTCACGGGTGGCATGGACGTGAGCTCGATAAAGTTCGAGAGGAGCGGCCCCGTGGGCCCTTAAGTCCTTTAAGTCGCGAGTTGAGTGAAAGATAGTGAAGGTATGTTGCCATATTCGTGTACATTTCGGTGAAGATACCAGGTTGGTGCAGTTGAGTTATCTGAGATCCTCATAGATCCAAGATCCAGGCCAGACCACGCACAGCAAACGTCGTCAGACACATGCAACCTTGCCTTGTGCCACGAGAACTTTCCCGTAAGACTTCATAAGACCACGCTCAGCCTGTTCTCCCGGCTTCGGCCTCGGACCCTCTCGCAATCCGGGCACCTGCTCTCGGAGATGCCAGAGCGCCCGAACCGCTTTCTACAGTCTTTCGCTAGGGTAGCCCTCGCCTTTGAAGAAAACACGGTTTTTTTTGGTTTTCTGAAAGGCTGGAGGATTTGCTAAGGTTGCCAAGTTGGGCGCAGATCCAGGCCCGGTAGCCATGCGAAGGGGCACAAATTCGGCTTGGGAAGCCCAACAGTGGCCCAAAACGCACACTTTCCACGAGATCCCTCTTAGGCGGGTTCGGGCAGCAGGATGGGAATTCGACCTCTTTCTTGCCAGCGGCGCAATCGACAGCGGCGGTTAGCACCAGGAGAACCGCGCTTTGCGTCTTCAGGGTCCCCACCACAAAAAATCCTACACGTGTATCTATGTAGAAATGCGCAGCGGCAGAACATGGCAGAACGTTTTCTGGTTCGTGTGGTCTGCTGCTTTGCTTGCGCTACGTGCCGCACCTGAACGGCTTTGGCGGGTTCTGGCTAGAACGAAGAGCCGATCCCGCATGGACTCGGAAGCCCTCGGCATATTTTAAAGCTTGGAGGAGGCCCAAAGTAACAGTTTTAGTAACAGTTTTAAGTTTTAAGACATTCTGAGAGATGGGAGATGTTCAAGGTCACTTCCGTGCAGAATTTTTGCCGAAGGCTCTGGGCCGAATGCATGTCGAGATGCCGGAACAGCGTGCATTTCTTTGCGTTTCCAGATCCAGGAAGGCTGCCGTTGTGTGTGAACCACGATTTCGATAGGCTCATAGGCGAGATCTAAGGTCTGAGGGGGCCCTTGAGTCTGAACAAGGGGAGGGAAGCCCGGCAATGAAGTTCTCCTTGGGGCGGTGTTGAGGCATGGTCCCAAGCGCATGCTCCTTCTTGCAGAGTCACGGGGTCGGTTTTGCCGGCTTTGTAACATGCTTGGAATGAGTAACAGAATGACTCAAAAGGCATCTTCCGGGCTGGAAGGGCGTCTGAGACGGGACCGATCTGGGCCGTCGCCGGAATTTTCGCAAAGACGTGAGCCGCCCCTTCTTTTGCACGCTTGCTCGAATCACTGCTGGGCTGCCTTGCCATCTGCCTCTGGCCAATTCGCTTTATCTGGCAAGAAGGTCGCTCTGCTCGGGCCAAGGAGCTGAGGTTCGGTTTGAGAATCTCAGAGAGGTTCGGAGATCTTCCCCTCTGGGGCAGCAGGAGTCATGGGGTCATCTGGGGTCCGCGCAGCAGCTCTGTGGCCTTGCCACCGCCAGTCGTCGCACACACGGATCAAGGCATCACGAGGTGTTGTTGCTCGTCCTGGCACCCCAGATTCCACAATGGTCTGGGAATCTGGGAATCTGGTATAGTGGGGTGGTGATGTCCGGCGTGGTGGCAAAGAGAGTGGCGCACTTTTCGAGTGGTGGAGGTTCAGATGAAATCTCCCAGCCTGATGCTCTGGACCGATTTCGGAAGCTGGGCTCCGAAGCCAAGCCATGCCTCGCTTTTCAGTGCTCCACCCGATGAAGCACCGAAGCGGGCAAGTTTCACTGTAGGGATGTAGGAAGGGCCTTTTTTTCCAGGGCAAGCTGTAGTGTGTGGACAAGACCTCAGGGTCCTCTGGCCCCAAGTAGTGAAGTACATTGAAGTAAGTTGAAGTACTCTCAAGTACCTCCGAGAAGGTTTCAATTGCGAGCATGACAGGTCCGGGAGCCGCCAATGAGCATGGAAGGTGTGACGTCAGCAGTTCGTGCCCTCGAGACTATGCCATGCCTTGGATTGATACCTTGCCTCATTGAAGTCGATATGACAATGTATCTATATATATACACACACACTCTCTCTCTATATATATGTACGAATACATACATACATACATACATACATACATGTCTAGAGCCTGGTAGCGTCAAGTCCGCCGAGGGCCCTGGTCCATTAATTCAAGGCTCACACAAGCTGGCGAAGCACAGTTAATTCGACAGCTTCCGCAACGTTTTTGTGGCTGCCGCGGGGGCAAGGGCTTCCTATAGGTTTCGGGAGGCCCAAATGGCGTCACGGCGGTACCGTATCCAGCTTAGCACTATTGGGGTGGGGGTTGTCCTCGCCTTCGCGGAGTTTAAACATGTTGCAGTCAGGGCCCCGCCTGTTCCTCATCCACGAAAGAGGCACAGAAACACAGGGCCATGCAAACCCCTCAGTCCTAGAGGCTTGGGTGGAGGATGGTGGAGGAACTGCCTTGCGCACCGAATGGGCCATCGCGGGCTGTGGCTGTCCGTAGCTCGATGCCTGTGCTGGCTCAATCCGGCTCGTAAGGGGGCGGGACATCGGACTGACAAAGAGAGACGTGCATCGGTCTTGGTCCCGAGCCAGGTCACGCACATCTGCACACATCTACATCTGCACGCAACCCTGCGCATGTTGGATGCCGCGGTTGCGGTCTTATCTTCGAGTTTAGAAACCCTTAAAGCAGAGCAGGCACATGTCCGCATCGGCCACGAAGAGAGTTCCAGAATCCGATGCCGTGGGTGCGCGTAGACAGCACGTAGATACCTGTAGATGCCCATTGCGAGGTCTCAACGATTCTCAACCAGTTCCCTCTAGATAAGCTCCTTTCCCTTGCCATGGTGGACTATTCCAAGTGGGATAGCCTGGTGGCTCGCTCAGCATCCGCGGCATGATCCACAGATCTGTGTGCAAAGCGTTTGGGCTCGTTGTCGCAGCCCTCTTCGCAAGTTTCTTTCGAGTTCTGCGCCGGATCTGAGCAGGATGTCAGCGACGACGAAGAGCGCCCCCGCCCTCATGTATCGAAGCGCCTGGCTTGGGATGGGGAAGCTGGGGAAGCTCTTGACACGGCAATTGGACTTCATGTGCAAGACGCAAACACTGTCGTCATCCAATAGTGTAGTGGAACCAGGATGAATCCCGGATGAGGACAGAGCTAGTGCGAGGGTCACCAACGGAATGCGCCTCTGTAAGGTTTGACACCCCTCAAACTGTGACGATCGGGCGCCAGGCCTGACCCGGGAACACAGTAAGCAATACAGATTGCCAGTCACATTCCACAAACAACTTGCGCCCGTGTTCCTACTCAGAAGCGCATGCGGTTCTTTAGTGGTTTTGCACAGGGAATGGTCTGCTTCTGAGCTGCCTCAGGAGGGAGCGCAAACTGCGCCTGTAGCGCCAGTGGGAGATGTCGATATGGAGGCGTTGGGGTGTGCGGAAAGCTAGTCATCAGGAAATGCGAGCTCTCCGAGGGTGGTAGCATCTGCGATTGTATTTCTGCATTGTGTTTTTGACCGGTCGTTCGATTCCTGAATCTGTGCTTGTGGCTCATAACCTTGTCTGGGGTAGGATGCGGATGACGACGAGCCCTTTGAGACAGAGGTGCGATGCTGTGGGGCCGTCGTGATGTACTTTCTTTTTGAGTTTTGTCTTGGCTTGAGATTCAGGAAGGGGATTCTGGCATGGAAGATGCCGAATGGGCTGTGAGGGTTCAGACATCTGACCTCAGACGATCTCCGTGTCTCATGTCAAGTCATGTCGAGGATGATGCAGCTGAGCCGGGGGAGGACCGGCGAGAGGTCCGGAGCCAAAAAAGTGGAAAGCTCCTTTCGCCTATTGCCACTGCGAGTATGCACGAATATGTACTGCTTTGTTGCTCGCTGGGGGCCTGGGAAGTTTCTGCCGTTCTTAGCTTTGCTGGAACGCATGTCGCAAAGCTTCGAAACTCTTGGCGTGATCGTGTGCGGTGGTCCGTTTGCTCATTCTGTCAGAATGCGTGACAGCACAACTTGTGAAGCAGAGGATGTCAGGGGGTGTGGAGAAGGTCTGACAGGCTGCGCTTTATCGTTGAGGTCCTCTCGTGCTTTTCCTTCGCTGAGGATGTCCTTCAGTGCCGCGCCCTAGCGGAACGCGCGCTCAGGAGTGCCGAGCGGCCTTCAGCGGTTGCGGTATGTTGTGGCATGCTGTGGCGAGCTGCGCTTCGCTGCAGGAATGGAGATGCCGCCGAGGGCGTCCGCCTGCTTGAGAAGGCACAAGGAGTGTGAGACACGGAAAACAAGATGAGCTTTTTCATGAGTTTGGATTGTCGAACCCCGAACCCCGAGGGCTCAGACCCCACGCCACCTTCGCCGATCACAAGCCACAGCTCGAGGCAATGCGTCTGGGAGGCAACAGCTGCCCGGGAGTCGAGGCCGCGTGGTAAGTCCGATAAGGTTAGGGCCACAGGCACCGTAGGGCATGATTACCAGGACCATCGTGATTCAGACATCAAGAAGCCCTGCAACCTCCAACAAACGCAAATAGTCACCCTCTGGAAATTGTTCGGGTTGTGATACGTACGGTCCTTGAACTCATTTAGGCAGTTCAGTGTGTACATTGAGAATCTTGAAACTTCGTACAGTTCTGTGCGTCTTCATGGTCGCATGGTGTAGCTTGGGCAAGGATTTGGGATATACTTGGCTTCCTCTCCCCCTGGTCGGATCGGGTCGTGGTCACCTTAATCCACCGATGCACCCGCAAGCAGTATGCAGCTAATCCCCTGCAGAAACAATCCGATATCATCCGAAGAGTATCCGAAGCCATTTGGGGATCATACAGCTCATACTGCCTGGCCGGGCCTTTTACGCGGCTGTCCTGTGGTGTGACCTGGCCTCCTTGATTTCGGAAGCCCCCCAGAAGAGTTTTTGTGTGTTCCTGAGCAGCCTTAGCGGCTTCTGTGGAGGTGCAAAGCTTCACGGCAAGAGGGGATTCTTCGGATCAGATGTGTAAGAAGTGTAAACGCTACAATTCTAAGCTCACCCCCAGAAGCCGCAAACCAAGGAGTGCCATGCCGTTTTCGTCACCGCCTGGCGGCACGAAGCGACACCGTGGCTTGGGGTTTAGGGTGCTGGATTAGGCTTTTGGATTGAACTGAAGAGCCCGACGGAGCGAAGTAAGCCTCACCAAATCGAAGAATCGCGAATCTCTCCGACGTGGGGATCGCCCTAAATCCTATTTCTGGAGTTCTGGTGACATTTATGGAAAACTAAGATGCTTTTTGGGTTTTTGGGGTGCCTTTGTGTTTCGCATGCGTTTCACCTCTGTGCAGTTTGCGCTCGGAGGATCTTTTCGGGTTTGAGGTTGGTGGTTCGAGAGTCGGGTGGCAAAACGGGTCTTTGATTCGAGGAATGCGGTGGCTTCTCTGGGGTTCATCCACATAAGATGATGTTTAGAAGACGAGGATGCGACGGCAGATGGACGATAGGCATGGGCACAGCCCCTTTCTGGCTGAGCCGACGTTGGTTTCGGCTTTCTGGGCTCGGGGCTTCTGCCATCAACTACTGTCCATGTCTTGCTTTGGTTTGTTTCCTGTTTCCGACCCCATACGGCCTGAAAGCACAGACTCCAAACGTTTAAAAACCCTAGCCCTGAATGCGGCAGAAACCTCAGCTCGGGCATGATCAGGACGACCACTGCTTCGACTTCATCGCTGTCTTGGGCACGATGCTCAGGGCTCGGGCTTCGTTGATGCTTAGTGTTTGGGGTTCAGGGTGGGAGGAAAATTGGTGGCGCAGGCGGGTGGGAAAGAATGCTTGAACCTCAAACCCTCGAGCTCTCAATACCTGCATCCGCATCCGCAGCCCGAAGCCTGATTCTCACGCCCCCCAACTCCGCAGCTTCAGCCCGCAAGCTGAACAACACAATTGTCGAAACCAGAACCGTTCGTGTGTTTAGAGTTCAAGCTTGGGCCTTTCTCCGGCGGCTGTCAGAACTTGTCCCTCGAACCCTACCTTCAAACTGCGAAAGCCGTTCAATCATCAGACAAGGACCACAAGCACTCCCCGAGGATCCCAAGCACCTGCGCAGGACTTCAAGCACAAACGGAGCCCAAAGCTATTTCAATCCCACGCATTCCGGTGATCTTCGGGCGAGGAGCCGCCGGCACCTGCGGAACCCCCGGCCGCCGCGCCTGCGGAGGGTGCGGCTCCGGCCCCAGCCTTTGGGGACTTTGGAGGGTTGATCGGGCTTCGGGTTAGGCACAGGCTTCAGGGAAGCTTGCCGTGGGTTGTTTTTTTCGGTGCAGCGCGGTGCCGTGTCGGGTTTGCAGGTTTTTTTTTTGTTTTTTGAAGGATTTGTGATAGCCTGGGGTCTCTCGATGTCCCCGAGGTAGGAATTATTGGATTCCTCCCGGCCAACAGCGGGTCCTCCCTTAGGGTTTAGGGTTAAGGGCTAAGGGTGTTCCCGACATGTTCAAGCTAGCAGTTATTACGGGCTGAGGCCTTTGGATTCAACGTGTTTTCGACGTTACACTAAACCCTCTAAGCCGTAACCCCTCTAGAATGACCTGGCTGCCAACCTTCAGCCACGAACCCTCTCCGAAGCCTCAACCCGACCATATAGGGGGGACTTAGACTTTCTCCAGGGAGGCATGTTTCAGACACCACTTGGCTCACCAAGTCACAGAGGCGTTTACATTTTCGGGCTTGTCACCTTTTTGGTGACTTCAACATCGCACATCATACTGCTTTATACTGTGCTAGCGCGGTGCAGAGGTATAGACTATGATGTATGCTAGGCTAGACACTGCTGTCTCATACACAGGCCTCAATGCTGCGTGTCTGCACGCTTTCAGCAGAAGAACTGCTCACGACACCCATTGGGGAGTTGACAAACGTGAAGGAGCTTAAGCAGAAAATCGACGAGACTTGTGGGGTGCCACGCTTCAGGCAACGGCTGCTTCTTGAAGGTGTTTCTTTGGATGATACCACGATCTTGGACTCGCCCATGGATCTGCAACTGGTTTTGCTGCCCTTGTTTCGCCCCGAAGACCATTCCCAAGTCCGCGAATTGATAGACGCCGCGAAAGACGGCCGGCTGCCTGAGGTTGAGGCGATCTTGGGGCGACCTCAGGATCCCGACGTAGTCTATGGTCATCCGGTCCATCTGGGCTGCACAGCCCTAACCGAGGCATCAAATCGCGGCCGCGCTGATGTTGTGGAGGTATTGTTGGAAGCAAAGGCCGACAGTGATAAGCCAAATGCATTGAATCAGTACACAGCTCTACACGAAGCAGCTCGGAACGGGCACGTGCAGGTTGTGCGTTTGCTGCTGCAGGCCAGGGCCGACGCGAACAAGCCAAATTTTTGTCGTGAAACGCCGTTGTGGTCTGCGTCGCGTGGGAACCACGTGGAAATCGTTCGTTTGCTTGTGCAGGGCGGGGTTGCGTGCAGCCACTTCGATGCGGCCCTGAAATGCGCAGCTGATTGTGACTATGTGGAAGTTGCGGGTGTGGTTTTGGATGCCATGGCAAAGCAGGCTCCCGCGGACGAGAGTGTGCTAAACGACGCTCTCCATCGTGCTTCTGGCCGTGGCTCTCCAGACATTCTGCGGTTGCTGCTAGCAGCTAGGGCAGACAAAGATGCAGCTAACAGTGATGGCGACACGCCATTGCATTGGGCATGTTCTGCAGGGGACTGCATGTCACCATGCGCAGGCCACCTGGAAGTGGTTCGTCTGTTGTTGACAGCTGCGGCAGATGTAGACAAAGCAAACTCTTCTGGCGATACACCACTTATGGACTCCTGCTTCGAAGGCTATGAGGAAATGTTATCTTGCTTGTTGCTGGCTAGGGCTGATGTCAACAAACTCTGCAGCTTGGGCAAGACAGCACTCATGAAGGCCAGTGTGTATTCCGGTGCAGAGAGAGTCATTCAGTTATTGTTGGATGCCAAGGCAAGCATAAACATGGCAGCGCAAACTGGTGAGACAGCTCTCATGTGTGCATGTAGCGAGGGCCAGGAGGACACCGCCCGCTTCTTGCTGCAGGCCATGGCCGATATTAGCAAAGTTGATTGTTCTGGCCAGACAGCCCTCATGCATGCTTCCTGCAAGGGCCATCTGCAACTAGCTTCCTTGCTGTCCAGGGCCACTGCTGAAGTGAAGGCTAGGGCCGATCCAACGACAAAGCGCTCACCTGGTCACTTCATGCTGCCAAGCGCATGTCGGCGTCGTTTTAGGGGAGCAAGATGATCCCATCAACCAGAAGCTACACAAGATGTGGGTACAGCATTTCTCGAAACAACAGTATTATAATTGTATTATACAAATATTACAATGGTACTACAACGGCATTATCATGTCACTATAATAGTACTATACTCATGGAGATGTTAAGGGCTTTCTGAGTGGCTCCAAAAAGCCTTGGCAAGCACTCGCGAAGCGCTCACGAAGCGCTCGGACCTCGACAGTTGCTCGAAAAGAGATGTTTTGGAGCGCTGGCTGAGGGCTTTCTAAGCAATCGCTGCGTCCCCCCCCCCCCCCCACCCGTCAGACCCCCCTCCCGTAACATTTCCATGATATACTAGGCTCATTGTAAGAACCTTCAGCCGATCCTATGCCACATATTCAGACTAAAAATTGTACAACTCAGCAAGATACAGCACTATCATACTTTCGTAGGGTACTCGTCTAGGCATCATTATGCTCATACTTTTATAGGGTACTATCATAATATAGTGTGCTCATGTGTGCTCGCTGTACTGTGCTGCCATGTTAGGGCCCCTTTTGTGCTTCTTGGGTTTTCAGATATTTTGGGCACTTCAGTTTGAGGGTTGGCATTGGGGTCTTCGCTTCGGGGTTTGATGCCTTTAGCGCCTCTTAAGCTTTTTGTTGCAGCTTTCGTAGGGGGGTGGTATGAGCAGCCTCTGACCATGCATTGGGGAGATTACACCACTTAAACAAACACAAGCAAGCGACGCGGAGTTTGGCGGGGATGTGCGTCGAGCATGTTCTTCCGTACCCCAAGCCCTGAACTGTAAAAGCGCTTAGCTGCGTTGAAGGCTCAGCATCAAACACACTAAGCCTGAATCCCCAAATCCACGCTGCCAAGTCCACAGCCCAAAAGCTAAGGGGCGAGGCAAAACCCGCGGCATCCGGGCACCGTGGCCAAAAGAGACCTATACTGTAGCCTCTTCGCTTCAAGGTCTCTGGCTTCATGGCTTTGGGGCGCGCTGGTTATTTGCAAGGGCATGCAGATGGGCCCAATGTTCGGAGTGTGGCTTAGCCTCTCGATGCTTCAAAATTCCCGGTCCAAGAACTCCAAGCCCCCCCCCCCCAAGCCCTTTGCGCACGCATTGGCCCCACAAGATCCTGAAGCCCCGAACAGAACCCCGATCTTCTTGTATTCGTGAACAAGCCAACAAGGGAAGCACCAGATCCAGCGCACCATGGGTTGCAGGGTTTAAGGGAATGGCTTAACGCTAACCCGGATGCGAAAAGGGCAATGGCATAGCGCGGGCAGGATGGCTTAAGGTAGTACTTGTCGCGCACAGGTCAGGGTATAAGTGTGAGAGATTCAGGATTGCGGCTCTTTCGGTGCTGGAGTGTAGGCTTCAACTCGTTCTCAGTCGTTCCAGCGTGAAAATAGAAGCAGCAAAAACATTCCCAGGCCTCAGGCACGTCTGCTGCGATGCGTTCTAAAGACAAGGCGCCAAAGAGTTAAGCCCTCATGAGTGTCGCAGGTGAGCTTCTGCTGCCCAGCGCAAGGGGCCCATATGCCGCACGGCAGGGGCCAAAGGAAAGGTTGAGGACTTGGGGATTTGAGGATCCTGGGCCGAGCTTGTGCTCCGCCAGATTTGAGCGTTTGGCGTCTTTGGGCGTGATCGAAAGTAGCCCTAACCCCAACACCTAGGAGCAAAAGCAGTTTTGGACTTCAGGCGCCCCACCACTCAGATCCAGCTTTCGAGGCTGCAACATCTGGCTCCAGTGCGGCTGGCTGGCTACAGTGCCTGAGAACCGCAGACTATTTTAGAGGCGGTTCAGGGTTCAGGGTGCTTTAGATTGTAAGGACATGCGAGCATCCCGAGTGAGTCAAGAGGCGGAATGAATGGGATGTTTGGCTCCGAGGCAGAATCCTAATGTGCCAGGCTCTGCTAGGCCCTTGATTCAAATATGAGGAACATAAGTTTTGGAGTGTCCAGGCTGCAAGAGCAGGAGTGTTGAGACCATGTGATTTTCGTATTATGCGATTTTCGCTATGCTGAGACTCGGGATGCACGCACCGTGCCGGGCATCGTCCAATCGTGCCGTGGGTGGTTTTTGATCTGAAGTCCTACGCCCTCCAAAGCATAGAAGCATACAGGCTTGAACCACGCACTTCGCGCCGGAGACGCCACCTACTTCATCACGTGCCGGGCACACGACCCGGCCCACACTGCGGTATGCACCCAAATCGGGTGCGCGTCTTCATAAGTTGCCCATCGAGCTCCTGCACACTGTGTATGCCGGAGCATCTACTTCGCTTCAAGCTCTAGTTCTACGCTAAAACACAGATAGTTAACACACATATGTATAGACACACACACACAAAATGATGTATGTATGTATGCATGCATGCATGTATGCATGTATGTATGTACGTATGTATGTACTTCTGTGTGGGTGTGTGTCTGCGAGCCAGTATGTGCGCTTCCATTTCCCCATTGTATGATGTGTGGTCACAGACACGAAGCACACAGGCATGTTCACATGCCCTTTGCACTTGAATCGAAAAAGGTGGGTCGAGCGAGCGACTCTTCGACTCTCACGCACAGACGCGAACGGATATTCTGCACATTCTGCATGTTTAGGTGGTTAAATGGGCATGCTGAAATTCATCGGCTTGCTGCTGCAGTGCAGGCTTGCATATGGGGCTGCTCGTGGGACACATCTGCTTGGCAGTGTCATTCAGAAGCTGGTGACGAGGTTGTGAACCAGCCAGTGCCTCCAAGAAGGCTGGGGAAGAAGTCTCACCTCCAAGCCTCCTCGTGGCTGGGAAAGAAGGAACGCATCGGCCTCGTGGGCAAAAAGTCGGAAGGCTCCTCTTGCTGCTGTTTCATTGATGCCAGGTGGCCTTAGAAGCCTCAGCGCTGGAACCGTAAGAGCCAGAATTTGTACTTTGAAGCACCCTTGCACCCAGATGTAAAATGGCAAACTGGGCCCCAAGCCGCACTTGAGCCAAAACCAGTGCCCGAAGAGAAGTATCGCATTAAGACCCCTCAGGCACCGACGCTGTGCAACCATCAGCCCTGGCCAGACAGTTTGTAACCTCTTTGAAGCTGTTGAACCTGGTGAAGATACAGTGCCCGTCAGTACCCCAGACCCCAAGCCAAACCAAATCGCTTGGAGGAATTGTTACAGGCTGCCCGAGCACAGCTTGCTGCGGCCACGGCCGCAGCCCCGCGCAGTGTTGCCGCCAAGGCAACAGGGAGACCGATGGAGGACATTTTTTCACGGATTTCGCTCAGGTAATGTGCCAGTTACAGGGATCGCTTGCGAAGCTGTTGTGCATGTGTGTCCCCGGCCTGGAACTACATCACCTCGCTGTTTACAAGCGTCCTATGAAAAACTTGGCGAGGAGATGCGAGGAGTGGCTGCAAGACATGCTACCAGCAACAGCAAGCCGCTGTGAGCAATATCGCGGCCAACATCCAAAGTGCAAAGGTTAATTTGTTGCAGCATGGGCTCCATCGCATGCCCCCCCTGCAGCTGGAGCAAACCCGGTTGACACTCCCTCATCGACCACATGCGAAAGATGACATCAACCAGAACGGATTGAACGCGAAGCGAACAAGTGCAATCGTGTGACGCCGCGACGAGCCTCTGTGACGAGAGGGACCATGATGACCTCTGTAAGCATCGTGCCCGTCATTATTGTGTAGCTTAGTCTTCGGACGTCCCAACGTGGGGCTGAGTTGTTCTGGCTGCTAGTCTGAAAGCTTTTCTGGAAGCACAGGAGCTCGTTGGCCAAGAGAAGCTTCGCCCGTGCTGGCGAATGTGAAACACCTCCAAGCAAAATCCCAAAACAGTGAGCCCACCAGGCACAGGAAAGGCAGTCTGCCTAAACACAACTCTTTTGGTTTTCTTTTTGTTTTTGTTTTGCTGGAACATGGCGGGGAGCGTTGTGCTTTGGGGGAGTGTGGACACTGCTCCAGGTGGATCCCCAACAAAACGGCGCTCGCCCCAGCCTTCTGAGGTGCTCTTCGTGGCTTTGTGAGAGTTACGGGAGTCCGGGAGTCTGCTTCTGCAACATGTGGGTCTGGAGTCGGTTGGAGTGCAACAGCTGCAAGAGCTCGGCTTCTTCGCCGGTGAACCTAAGGAGGCTGCGTTGAGGACAGATATGTCTGGTCACAGACGAAGGCGGCCATCTGCGTAAACTTGTCGCACGCAATGTGACAGTCTGGGAGTCCTTGCTGGGCTTTTGGGCCTTTGCCTTTGCCTTGGCCCTCTCTCGTGCAGGAAGCAGTGGAGATCAACCTCTTTGTGGCGCCTGACACAAAAAGCAAGGACGTCCAGGTGTGAGTCTACTGAGTCTACTGAGTCTACTGCATCTGTATCTGAGGGGAACTGAGGGGAACCTGCGCGAGTGCTGTTGACTGAACAAGGCTTAACAAGGCGGTTCAACAGTGTTCCGGGGGCAGGTCCACATCTCCGAGTCCCACCTGAAGATCGCCGCTTCCGGGCAGGTGCTCCTCGAGGGCGATTGGGAGTTCAAGGCAGGGCACTGTGACGAAGTGGCGTCCGCTTTCCGCATGTCCTGGGCTTCTTAAGGGCCCTTGTTCACATGCAGCACCCTCTTGGTTTGCATGCAAACTGCTGTGCCCCAACACTTGCCAGGTGTGCCCAGAGGAGGCCGGAGTGTTGCAGTGACGTTGAGTGACGTTGAGTGACCTCCTTTTTTTGGGAGACCTACCCAGTTGGCCCATCTTTTGTATCTTTTGTCCGCTTTTGCACCTCAGGATGCGGACTGGGAGCTCGTGTCCTGCCGCGGGCAGAGGGCTCTGCGTTTGTTGGTTCGCAAGGCGAGACGGGGAATGCCTTGGTCAGAAAAAGAGCGATTGGCTCTTAGACAAGGAACCTAATTGATAGTTGCACCACAAGCAGTGTCATTGAAACATGCGCTGCGGTCGCTCGACCCCTTCACGCCTTCATTCACTAGCTCGATCGACCGAAAGCAGGCCGTGATGCCTGGGGGTCTGTCCGTGGCCGCCTGGGTCTCAGCTCCATAGATGCCGGTCTACAGCACGCCTGTTCTCGAAGGGTGCGCGCCGATTGGCTTGCATGAGGATGTTCGGGCGCCTGCATTTTCCGTGCCATGCTTATCTCGCTTGAGGTTTGGTGGAGCAGGATCCTCAAGGGGGAGCCATCCATCGACGTCCAAGGGATCGAGGACGGCTGGTGCTTCCCATGGCTCGAGGATGTGATAAAGAGCATCTTGTAACCTCACTCCCTCACCTTTCGTGATGCCGATTCTACGCCATGTGCAACGACAGGGCCGGCAGCGAGATCGAGACAAGAGCCAGGAGCCACTTGGACTCAGGAAGTCTGGAGCATAGGCCCATATACGCCTAGGCCCCTTCTGGCCCTACCTTGCTCTGGTCTCTTTATTTGTCTCTGCGCAGCACAGGTTCCAGAAGGCCTGGGGTGAAGCCCATGTGCCCATGGCTGCATTATGGAACGGGGCCGAACGTGGGGCTCGGGTCTGAACCTGGCGAAGTCTCCTTGGCGATTCTTGAGGCCATGTTCAGAGAAGCGGTGAAGAACCGACAGCCCATTCCCATCGACGTGTGCTCCCGGCACTGTTATTGGGTGTTATGAGGTCTGGCTGCAGGCGGCGTATCCTCCCGGCAAAGTCAGCTGCTTTCTGTTGTACTTGCGGTCACTTGCGCAGGGCCGTTCTCTGCTGATCGAATTTCCCTAAACTTTTGCAGTGCCTTTTGCGCGTCTTGTTTTGCCAGGGGCCAATGATGACGGTGGACAGGCCAGGGTCGTGCCACAGCCACCGTGGTCTTTGCATGGTTTGGCTTTGATTTTGGATTCTCCCTTTCCGTTCCCTTTCGCCAGAGTGAGGGGTTGGCCTTGAGGGAGCTGGTTTCGACTTGGTGTCCCGTCGCAAGATCATCATATCCACAAGCTGGTCCTATTTGATTGTGTGATCTAGTTACATGTATTCCAAGCCAAGACTTCCAAGGCGGAATGCAGGTGGTTGTGTTGCTTGGGTCTATCATCGTGGAGATGAGAACGTCGAGGTCGCACTGGTTCATGCTGGTTCATCCCAACCCTAGAGCCTGGACATCCTAGGCATGGATAGGCGCAGGAGTCCTCCTCTGGAAGAGCTCCATGCCAGGCGTGTCGGCAGGCGTCTGATGCCGGCTCTCCTGACTTTGCAGTAATAAGACTGCAGGCCCTGTCCGTGGACCCCAGAAAAAGGTGAGACACGGTTCGCCCAGTTGGCCGCACTGCTGGACGGGCAAGAGCTTCTAGTTTTTGCATGAAAGTTCTGCCGGCTTGGGAGCAGACAGGTTGCGCACTGCAGTTTGTGGATGAAGCCGCGGATTCTTCAACAGCCGAGGGAGCGCATGTCTGGTCTGAAACGCCGCGCATCGGATTCATCTCAACAAGATCACCCCCCCCGGTGAATTGCCAAAGACATCAAGCTTAGGGTCCGATGGGATGGCCCGTGTCTTTCGCCCACGGAAGAAGGTCCAGCAGCGCCTTGGCATGGGTTCTTTGAGTTCTATTGGGGAACTCATATTCCTGGCGCTTCGGGCATTGGAGGGCAGTGGTGGCTAAATGTTGGTGTCATTTTTCTCGCTCTCAGCCTGCAGCTCTTGGCCTCGCACTTTGTAGATTTGGGGGCTTGGGGCAGACCTTTCTTCAGGTGGGTCATCAGCGGCCTGGCGGAGAAGGCCGAGGTCCAGGTGGGAGCCGCTGCGAGAGAACTAGTGCCACATAGACTCTGATGGCCTCAGATGAAAAGGTTCTCAAGGCTTCGCTTTGAGGTTTGCGTGGAAGTTGTGACATGTCAGGGTGGCTGGCGACGCGGGGCTCCCCCTGGTGGTGAGGCGCGCAAAGAGTCTCCTCTAAGACTCTAAGACTCTAAGGTCCAAAGCGTGTGCATCAGGGTGAGGCGTCACGTCAAGTCACATTTTGCGCCTCTTCAGCTCTGTGAGCCACATTGCTGCAGGGGATGGCGGGAGTCAGACTGTCTCCCCTGTCCTGCTGTCGTCGATACTGAGGTCCTCACAAAGTCGCAGACTCGCGAACTCCAAAAACTGAGGGCCAAGGTGCGCTTCCAAGCATTTCTGTTTGCCGGAGGCATCTGAGGCACCTTCGCATCTGCCTCTGCAGGATGAAGGGAGTGCAGGTGGTGTACCATATTCTGCTCTCTCGCTCTCTCTCTTTTTTCTCTTGCTCTCTCTCTCTCTCTCTTTCTCTCTCTCTCTCTCTCTCTTTTTCTCTTTCTGTCTGTCTGTGCGCAGGCCAGGAGAGAAGGCCGCAATCCCGACCTCGCACCCATGGCTGCATTGTGGGCTCATGCTAGTCCAGGGGATGTCTGGATGTTGATGGAAGCTTGTGCAAGATTTCGCCGGCTATTCCCGGCAAGATGCGGCCACCGCCTTCTCTCTGCCAGGTTGTGCTGCCACCCAGGAGGCTGCCAACACCGAGATTGCCATTGCCGCCGGACGTGGCCCTGCTGGAGCCTACACATCACACCATATCACACCTCAAGCCATCGGCGAGTAAGAAGAATTCCTGCCACGATTGCTAACATTCTCTTAGCAATGCTTTGGCATGCTTTGGGCACCCTTGGGGCCTTAGTGTGCCTGACATGCTCAAGTGTTGGTGAGGACTCCAGTCTCCCTGCGCCGCTTTTGCTTCCGCCACCCGGTGCTGACGGCGCCGCTCTCAGCCGCGCCGCGGCCATCGCAGCCTCCCAGAGCGGCGGAGGCGAAAGAACCGTGGACGCTACGAGACAATGTCCAGAAGTTTCGCGCAAACACCGTATGATACTGAACAATGCAATGCTGCGCGGTTCGGAAGATCTTCCTGCCATCCGCTTGATATCTGTTGGGCAAACCGTCTGGTGGCAGGCTTGTCGCTTTTCCCAAGCCTGTGCAGCCGCGCGCGTGAGGCCAGAGCTCGTGTGCCTTTGCATCTGCACATAAACTCGATTGCAGGATGTTGCAACAGTAGTGGCTTAGCAAAAGCAACGTAGGCCGACATTGCTGCTTGATCTTTAGGTTTGAACCAGCATTCTGCCTTCGAGCCGAGAAGACGGTCCATCTCCTTGTTACATCCTACCTCGAGTCACTCGGACCACTTGTCTAAACCGAGCCTGGGTGATCGAATGTGACCGTATGGCCGCCGTATGGCCGCCGTATGTCGATAGGCATGATCTGGTCTCCGTGGGAAGACTGTTAGCAAGCCCCGCCGAAGCGGTTGGCCTTCGATGTCCACCGCTCTGCGCATCCGAACCTTTCATCTCCATTCTTTGCCAGCTGCTGGCGAGCTTCGACCCCGCGGATTTGGCCCGCTTGGCGAAGGCAATGGGAAGAGCGAGACGCGGCTGAAACGGAGGGGTTTTCATACCTGCGCCGCATCGCCTAGTTGGGGGTTGGGCTTTCAAAAGGTCCGGGAGGTCAGAGAAGGCCGGCACGGCTCGCAGACTTTGGTGACGCTGGCGGAATTCTTTGTTTGTCTGGACCCTCGAGAGAGGGCACCGAGGGACAGTAGTATTAGCATCCAGGAAAAGGAACTCTCTGGCACTTGACAAATATGAGGCGACTGGTTTTATGCAGCGTTGTAGAAACGTGACGGTTGTCATGTGTGATTGTTTGGGCATATGCCAGAATCTGCATGGCTCGTCTTTCTGCAGATCATGGGCATGTGCTGCAACTGGCCGTTGCAAACCGGCGCAAAGGTGAGCACACAGCAAGTTCAGTGGCAGAGTTTGCGCAAAGCCAGCAACATCCAGCAACTCAGGAGATATGTTGACTCTGATCTTTCCGCGCTCCTGCTCCAGCTCCTTGGCCGTATTTGGTTGCAGCAGGTCACATGGGTTCCCAGGGTAACATTGCCAGGTCGGCTAGGTCTGCTTGGCTCCTTTCTCCAGTGCAGGCAGGGGCTTAGCCGCCTGGCTTACTTCGATGCCGCCTGGCAGCAAGAATCATGTCCCAATTGTTGGTTCAGAACGTGCCCTTCCAGCATGGGCTCCGGCTCCAACCTCCCAGAATGGTTTCGGCACTTAGGGCTTCTACGTGAGTTCATTCGTTGTAGAGGCGGATCGCTTGGTCCAGTTCCTGACCGGACTCAGTGTGGCGCTGCCGGCCAAAGAGCTGGCACCAGCAGCAGAGGACGGCCAGAGTGCTGAAGTGACCTGAAGTGCTGAAGCGCTGCAGTGCTGAAGGGAGGGTGATGGAGTTCTGTGTGATGCGCAGATGGGCCCAGAACGAAACATTAGATGGGAAAGTTTCTAAGTGAGTTCTGAGTTCGGCCCGCATTGATGCCCATGTCCACTGCGCACAAGCTCGTGGTGGCTGCTTGCTGTGCCCACCTAGCCGTTGCAGAGAGGCCTGCAGCACTTGCTACCGACGACGAGTGCGGGTCTGGATCCGGAACTGCCCCCCCCGCTGTGACTCAGAGCGGCCTGTTTACTGGGGCCCCAGGCTGCTGCCACTTGGAGCCTCGGTCGAAAACGCCTGAAACATGGCCATGCATTGCCTAGGTTTGTATCCCAAAGCCTACGCCCTCTACGCATCATCCAGTACAGCAAGTGGCCCCCCTATGCGTACCGACGTCAGATTCACAATGTGAAGCTTCGAAGCTTTCCGAAAGCTGCAGTGAACCACCAGGAGCTGCAGGGCTGGGGGATCACCCTGAACACAACTGCAGGCGCAAGCAGAGCAACTACTGGCCGGGAAAACGTTGGACATGCTAGCTGCTAGCGTTAAGTGCAACATAGTGCAACTGTTCGAGCCTGCTTTCAACCACCCTGGCTGAGGTTTTACATATGGTTCTGGAAGGGTCAGACGTGGGGCTGCGAGATTGGAGCTCGTGCAACAAGTCAGTACTGAAGTGGCCTCCACCCACGGCCCCTCGCCCCGACTTCTTGCCGGAGCATCTTCTGCCTCAGCGACAACGGCTCGTGATAGGTTTGTGCTCTTTCGTTCCGTTCTGAACACCAGGCACTCTCTGTTGGAGATGGCATCGGGGAGCAAAAAAGCGACAGCAAAAAGCGCGATGCAAGGTCGGTGGGTTGCAAGCAGTACGCTGCCAGCACCATGCGTCCGCTTGAGCACTCCTGTCATCTCTCGTCATCTCTTGTTGCTTTTGCAGGGTTCCCTAGGTGAGTTTTTGAGACACCTCACAAGTTGAGGCACTTTGACCGCCATGGCCATGCGAGTCATGCGAGCAGCCATGCTTTGCGCCGCAGTCGGCCTGCTGGGCCTCCGCGCCGCCTTTACGGCCCCGCGTGCCAGCCCGGCCCCGGATGCCTGGCCGAGGAGCTCGGGGATTTCGAGCTCGGAGTCCTCGGAGTCCGCGACCGGTGCTTGGGACTCTGACGCCTCCGCTGCCTCCGCTTTCGGCGACAGTCTGCTGCGCTTTGCGGCCGGCGCTCTGCTCGGCCTGGCGCTGGTCTCCTTCCCCGTGGCACCTGCAAAGGCGGATGTGGAGGATGTGGTGATCCCCGTGGATGACAAGGGCAAGACCACCACCCTGACGAAGGAGCAGCTGGTGCGTGGTAAGCGTCTCTTCAATGCTGCCTGTGCCTCCTGCCACGTGGGTGGTGGCACCCGAACCAACCAGAACGTGGGTCTTGCCATCGAGGAGCTGTCAGGTGCACAGCCCAACCGTGCAAGTGTCGAGGGGCTCGTGGACTACCTGAACAACCCCACCACCTATGATGGATTGAAGGACATCTCGGAAGTGCACCCTTCCATCAAGGGCGGCGACATCTGGCCGAAGATGCGATCCATGAAGCAGCAGGAGCGCGCCGCTGCCCTAACGAGATCACCCACCCCCAATCCACTGCTCTACAACCGAAGCCTGCAAGATTAGCGCAAGATCTAAAATCCTAGACTCAACCTCAGCCCAACCCGGCCATTACACTTGCAGTTCGCAGGACCTGTATGACATGTCCGCCTACATTCTCTACCAGAAACTGTGGCATCAATGTGAGATTTCTCAACCCTGATGTCGTTGGTATCATACCATTTGATGGCGGACCTTTTTTTTTTTTGGGGGGGGGGGGGGGGGGCGATTTGTCCAGAAGTCGTTTGCCTGCTCGTTGCAGCGATAAGGAATCAGACCATCCCAGAGAAGTGGGGCGGCGGAAAGACCTACTACTGAGTCGCCTATGGCCGGTGGAAGTTTTCCTTTAGAGTTTAGGGGCTAGCCGGGGGCAGAAGAAGTTAGTGCTGAGAGTTGTGGAAGATTCAGGGCTTCATTCTCGGAGTAGCATGACCTGATCTGTGGCGCCACGCAGCTGCCAAGCAAAAAGTGCCCACGTCTGGAGGGGAACACTTCAAAGGCCTTACACACGTTTCGTCAAAACCTGCCGGAAAGCCCCCGAGCTCTCGTCCATTCCCGTCAGGAGCTGCGAACTCGCGCAGCGGAGCTCCGGGGCCGCGGGGCGCTGGCTGCCGCGGCCGCGCTGGCGCCCCGGCTGCCCAGAGGAGGCAGCGCGAGCAGCAGACACGCTGCCCACATCTGCCCACGATTCTCAGTGCAGATACGAGAGACCGACGGCGTGACGAGAGACTCGTGTTTTTTCTCGACGGAAGCTAGCTTACTACTCTTCCAGAAGAGTGAAGCGCTTTGTACATTATTCTTTCTAAGCTTCGTAGGGATCGTCGTAGGACATACATGGAGGCTTAGTGTCCAGTTCTCCTCCCTGTTGAGATGGGCGTTCTGTGCGCTGCAATCTTGTGGCTGTTCAGTGAGCCTGTGAAGCTCAGAACAGAAGAGTGCGGCCAACAAAGCGCGGAGATCTCAGAGACAGAAGCCACAAGTACACGTTGGAATTCGCGGAGATTCTCCCGAAGCATTCAGAAACAAACATCCCCATTCCTCTACTTGTACCGAGTTGTACCGCAGTGTACATGGCCATACCCATGCCTTAGCCGCCGAGATTCCCTATGGTGGCCCGTTAGCGTCCCCCCATGCGCCGATGGCTTCCGTGCACGCAGCGATGGCTGCAGCGGACGCTGTGGACGCCCGGAAGCGGTTACAGGCGA